AAAAAAAAAAAAAAAAAAAAAAACAGGAGTGGGAGAGAGAAAGAGAAAATTTGGCTTGTTTTGATAACAATTTTTCATTCTGTACTTTCCGATATCTCTAAGGATATATAGAGCAATTACATCCCCCAACACAGTGGACGTCCTGTGGACCACAAGAGAGGCAGGGCGCGGGCTGAAAGGCACTGCTACTTGAAGTACTGCGCCAGCGTGGGCGGTGAATCATTTAAGGTTATTCATCATACTTCGTGAATCATACACACGCACCCGGGCGTCCATACACACTCATAGGCAAACATGACTATTATTTATGACACCATTGTCAGAGTTGTGGATGTTGTTGCTGTTGTTATCACTCTTATTCCGATGTTAAGGTTATCCTCGTCTCTTTTAATATTTTATATTATTATCATTAATATTGTTTTGATCGTTGATGCTACTTTCAGTCCTTTTCTTTCTCTTATTATATTTTTTATTGCCATTCACCTTCTTAGAATTGCCATGATCATCCTTTTTTTTTGCCTTTTCACAATCGCTATCACTCTTACTGTCTGTACCCCAGTTCCTTGCAGAGCTCAGATATTACGTCCAATTCTGGAAAACTAGACGCAACCAGTTATCGGGTTTTCGTGCATTCCGGTTGTTCAGTCCGGTTCTTTCCATCAGGAGAGGTAATGACTGTGATTATGGTGAGGGTAATAATGATTATAACAGTGATGGCAGTACTGATAATGGTGATTGTGAGAGTGATAACGATAAAGAGGATGATGATGATGATGATAATAGTGATAATAGTAATGATGATGATGTTAATGATAATAGCTTTCAATACCACAGTGACAATTGTAGTGATTATGATAATATTAGCATGTATCATAACGATAGCAGTAATGAGAAATAATTATCCTCGTTATGATAATGAATATAATCAAAGGAATAATATAAAATAAGTATATAACGCATTCATTCTTAACGTTTTCACCGCAAGCTTTTGAGATTTTGTTTTTGAATTCTTGTCATTTTTCTCTATCTCCAAGAACAAGATCACCAACAATTATTACCTACATTACAAAGGCATTTTACATAACGTAACGACAACAATAATAAAAGCAACAACAACAAAACACACACACACATACACACACATGTCTGCTACACGTTCCGATCCATGTTTTCTGCCTGATCTTTTAATGGTGGAAACGACACACAATTTCCCAATACACAGGTATTGTCAAGTAAATCAAATCTCACCTTTTATTCTCTCCGGGGCAGTTTGGAACATCTGCCGGCGGTGTGGCTGCGCCGCTCCTCTCGCCGGCGCGCCTCGCCTTCCAGTCTGGGGAAATATCTCGCTGGCGTTACTGTTCTTGCCCTTCTTTTCTTTTCTTCTTCTTCTTCTTCTTCTTCTTCTTCTTCTTTTTCTTCTCCTCCTCGTCCTCCTCCTGATTACTGTTGTCATTATGATTATTCTACTTATCATATTTTTTACTGCTAGTACTATTATCATTATCAATTCAATTATCATTATCCTTATCATTATTACTATTATCATTATCATTATTACTATTATTGTTATTATCATTAGCATTATTATCATCATTATCATTACCCATATTATCATTATTATTATCATTGTTATTATTATTATTGTTATTATTATTATTAGCATTATTATTGTCGTTATTATCATTATCATTATCCTCCTCACTATTATTATAATTGTTTTTATTGCCATTATCATGATTATCGTTTTCACTATTTTCATCATGATAATCACTGCCATTAGCATTATCATTATTATATCTACTACTACTGCTATCTATACTTCTCCCACTACTACTACTATTATTTTCATTAGCACTACTATTATCATCTAACTTTCTCTCTCTCTTTTTTTTATCTCTCTCTCTCACCCCACCCCCCCCTTCTCTCTCTCTCTGTCTCTCTCTCCCTCCTTCTCCCCCTCTTTCCCTCTCTCTCTCTCTCTCACCCCCCCCTTCTCTCTCTCTCTGTCTCTCTCTCCCTCCTTCTCCCCCTCTTTCCCTCTCTCTCTCTCTGTCTCTCTCTCCCTCCTTCTCCCCCTCTTTCCCTCTCTCTCTCTCTCTCTCTCTGGTTCATAATCTTAAGAACCAGCATATTAATTGCACCACAGTCACCAGAAAAAGTAGGATAGAAAAGTAAAAAAAAAAAAAAAAAAAAAAAAAAAAAAAAAAAAAAAAAAAAAAGAAAGAAAGAAAGAAAGAAAAAATGAGGGATGGTCTTCGGAGAAATTAACTACCGACATTTTTCTGACTTTTCTGCAACATTCCTTGTCTCTAGATATGAGGAAAGAGTTTCACGCTGAGGAGCACAGTTATGAGGTATAAGGCAAGATAAAGAGGAGAGTGAAGGATAGGGAAAGAAGGGAGATGGAAGATAAAGGAGAGAAAAAGAGATAAAGAGGAGAGTGAAGGATAGGGAAAGAGAGGAGATGGAGGATAAAGGAGAGAAAATGAGATAAAGA